CATTGACAGCGGGGCAATCTGGCTCGCCTGATAATACTTAGTTACATTAGGCACCCCAAGACCACCCTTGAGTCTATGAACAAAAAGCGTAGTTCTGGAGACTCTGGGGCACTTATCGGCCCAGATAAAACTCATAATCGTCGCCTGAATCAACCGAAGAAAATGAGGAGGAACCCGCACTGGGAGGGTGCGAAAATATAACAATTTCGGCAAGATGGTCATTTTTTACTGAACCCGTCCTATCCAAGACAGGTGCGGAAATTGCCAAGAGTGCATAAGAGAGGACACAGAGCAAAGCAATGGATAATAATTTGCAGCAAACAATGAGTCATAGGTGGGGGTCAAGCGAATGCCTAGGTATTCAAGAGAAGAGGAAGCCCATTTGCAAGGGAAGTGGGACTGTAGGCGTGAAACCAAATCTGGGGCCAAAGTAATATTGAGAGCGACAGTCTTATCCAAATTACAATCGGTCCGGACAGGACAAAGAGCGCCGGGGACAGAAGGCAGCCCTGTCTCGTCCCCCGCCAAATAGAAAAGGGATCTGAGAAATACCCGGCGTACTTAACAGAAGCCAAAGGAGAAGAATACAAAGCTTAAATCCAAAAAAGAATAGAATCCCCAAAACCCCAACGGGACAGCACAAACCGCAGATATTCCCAGGATAGAGAATCAAAGGCTTTATATATGTCTAAGGACAGTAAGAATCCCGGGCTTTTCCGCTGTTGTACAAAATGTATAAGATGGACCACCTTACAAACATTGGAACCCAAGGGAACAATCCGGATCAGGCCCAACCCGGAACGCTGACAAACTGGAAAAGCCCTAAGGGCCAAACTCATGGTCCCGTCAGGAACGTACAACGGTGAAACACAACGTGGGTGTTCCAAGATACATCTTCAGCCCGGAGAAGAGCAGGGCGGACTTGTTCGTAGAGGGGTCTGAGTGAGAGCCCTCTTCCTGTTGGACGACCACTCCCAGAGGCGGCCCAAAGGAAGCAGCCTCGCCGGAGATCCGAATGAATGAGCTGGGCTCTGAGTAGCAGCTTCTGGCGAAAGAAGGTGTAAAGAATCCAGGAGAGAGTGGGCCTCCTCCGGCATGGCAACCGAGTGACTGCGGCCCTGGTAGTTGAAGGTGAGGCGGAACGGAAAGCCCCAGGCATATTTAATTCTGCGGGTCACCAGGACTGGAGTGAAGGGTTTCAACTGAAGACGCTTCTGCAGAGTGGTCTGGGAGAGGTCAGCGAAGAGCTGATAGCAATGCCCCTGGAATCTGAGGTCTGGGTTGTTTCTGGCCCCCAAGACGATAGTTTCCTTAGTGCAGTAGTAAGTGAACTTGATGATAATGTCCCTCGGGGGCCCATCCGGTTGTCTGGGGCCCCATGCACGGTGTATGCGGTCAAATCTGAACCGGTCAATGGGAATGGCGGGCATCAGCTCCTGAAACAGAGCAGTAGCGGTGGAGGTGAGATCTGTGACCGTTTCTGGGATACCCCTTAACCACAAATTGCTGTGGCGGGAACGGTTTTCAAAATCCTCAAGCCGGAGCAGCTCGTCCGCTAATTTTTTCTTGAGGTCACACAAATCCTGCTTGTGACTTTCAATGACCGTGGCCACAGCATCCATTTTATCCACGAGATTGTTAGTCCGATTGCCCAACTCCCTAATTTCTTGCGAAATGGTGGTCGGCCAGCTTGGAGGTAGCGGAGGACAATTCCGACTGCAGCATGGACTTGAAGCGGCGCAGAAGCTCAACATCCCTCAGAACTGGAGCGGAAGACTGCAGGGACGCCTCTGATGCCAGGTCATCATCATCTCTGGGATCTGGTCCACTCGCGGGTAGCGGCGGCGGGGGACCCGAAATCGAGGCCGGGCTTCTGGCGGGAGATGCGAACTCGCGGCTGGGGCCCTGGAACCCTCCGGAGGCGGACCCGAAATCGAGGCCGCGGCTTGAAATGTGGCCTCCTGTGGGTAGACCGCAAATTCCAGTGCGGCCCGCCGGGTGCTGGAGGTGCGAGCGGCCGCTGACTTTTTGCCCATTGGGGCACTGGGGGACAGGGGGCCAGGAGAGGTTGGAGGGAGAGCAAAAACAACCCCCCGAGGGCTAAAAATCGGCTGAGCAGTAGACTTAGTATGCAGCCATCCCTGAAGCTGCTCACGAGCACATAATCCTCCCTAGGTCAGTCCTTTAGCTGCTTTTAGATCCTTTGTTTACAGACAAATTGTAACGTGTCCAAGAATGGTGCATGGCTGTTTCAACATTTTGGTGCATTGCCAGCTCACTAATTTGATTGGGAGCATTGAATGCAAGTCAATAACAAAAACAGCAGTGCAGAAAGATTAAAGTAGTATTCCAGCTTAAACCTAGCTAGCCTTAAAATTGCCCCCCCTCCCCCTCCACCCCTAACACCTATGCTTAGTAACCTATTTTAAGACTGCTCCAATCTGGTTACGTTGGCTTACCTTTTGTTAGCCAACAGCATATGCAGGGGAGAACAGGTTACATCACCTCTCCAGGCTTTACCAGATGTCTTCAAGCTCTTTCTCCCCTGCAGCTGCCACTGGCTGACACAGGAAAGATCACATGACCTTGGCTGGCTGAAAATTACAGTGAAGTATTTTATTATATTTTTATAAGTTTTCTTCATGCCATCTTTTTTATTAGGACCTTGCTAAGTAATAAAAAAAAAAGGGAGAGGAGGGGGGCACTTCATCCTGGTGATCTTTGATCTCTTCCATGTTTCTTAGGTAGATCTCCACCTCTCAAAGATTGCCTAACCCTGATTTAGGCATTACAGCAGATAATGTTATACTTTAAACAATATACTCCAGTCGCATCAGAAGAAAACTTGGATTGATTAAAAGCTGATTAAGCTCCAGCATGGGTATATCACAAGCATCTACAGGTACCTGCACATTTAAGTGCCTTAGGTGCCTGCCACATTAGCTAAAGCTGACCATAGATGGTTTGAATCTCGGCTGGTTCAGCAGGGACTTACCAAGATTCAAACCATATCAAAATAAAATCTCTGTGTAACCCCAAAGAAAAGTAAAACTTTCACCCTTGAAAGTGCAAATATTATAAACTTTTTTTCATGTGCCTTCCTCACACTTCAAATCCTATCCCACATTCCCAAAACATATAAAATCAAAACACAAAACTGTCCACAATTCAAAGTCCAAAGTGTCCACACTATCCAATCTTCCAACTGTGATTGATGTCCAAATCGTCACTCCAATCCAAGATACCTCAAACAAAATTTAAACTGAATAAAGTGCATTACCTTTTAAACAATATAATATTCCGTGAGGTCATGCACAAACACTAGTGAAGAATGTAACTGCCAAAAAAAATATATATATATTTATGATATATAATTATAATTCTATAATATAAAATCAAATGTGAAATTCAAAATCCACACACTTCAACTCGTGATAGAGTGAGTTAATCACTCCAAGTGAAATTAAACAAACCAAACATATGCAACCAGTGACATAGTGCACTAAACCAAATGGGTGCCACCACTCTGTGTTAGGATAACATACTATTACCCTAATTCAGTTTGTACAGGCGTTTCAAACTTTTAAGGGATCCCTTAAGAAAAAGTCGGAAGTGACGAAACGCGTCAGAGTCGTGACGTCAGGCGCAAACCGGAAGGAGCATCGCAGCCATCTTGGATGTGGTCTTGAATAGGTTGGACGGTTTTTACCTTATATGTAAGCAGTTATTTAATGATTAAATCTTTTTGCATTTTCTCCACTGAGTTTCTCTTCTCTGTCTTGTGAGGAACGGGGAGATCCCAGTGTATTCTCCCCTACAGAGGAAAGCCATCTGACATGTGGAAAAGTTTGAAACGCCTGTACAAATTGAATTAGGGTAATTAGTATGTTATCCTAACACAGAGTGGTGGCACCCATTTGGTTTAGTGCACTATGTCACTGGTTGCATATGTTTGGTTTGTTTAATTTCACTTGGAGTAATTAACTCACTATATCACGAGCTGAAGTGTGTGGATTTTGAATTTCACATTTGATTTTATATTATAGAATTATAATTATATATCATAAATATATATATATATATATATATATATATATATATATATATATATATATACACATTTTTTTTTTGGCGGTTACATTCTTCACTAGTGTTTGTGCATGACATCACGGAATGTTATATTGTTTAAAAGGTAATGCACTATATTCAGTTTAAATTTGTTTGAGGTATCTTGGATTGGAGTGACGATTTGGACATCAATCACAGTTGGAAGATTGGATAGTGTGGACACTTTGGACTTTGGATTGTGGACAGTTTTGGGTTTTGATTTTATATGTTTTGGGAATGTGGGATAGGATTTGAAGTGTGAGGAAGGCACATAGAAAAGGTTTATAAGATTCAAACCATGTATGAGTGGCCTGGATGTACCCAAGTTGGTTGAATGATCAACTTTGGTACAACCAGCCTGTCAGATTTTACATGTGACTGTTGCTAGGAGCTATTATAACTGCTAGCATTATTCACTGTGTTCACATGGAGGGGGTGTCTTCTGCCCTCTCATGAGAGGGATTCCCCCATCAACACCGTCAACTCATGGTTGCAGGAAAGAAAATCGCTCCATCTGTGGCCGGCTTTAGAAAACTAAAACTGAATACCACAACTCAGAAAACTCGGGCCAAACCATCCCCACTTCTGTACCTTCCTCTTGATGAAAGGGATAATTAGCAAAGTGTAAAAGACAGGGGTGGGCAGAGTTTCCAGGTATCTTCACAGGTTTCCATGAATTTCTGTGAGTTACTTTGTATCAAAATTCAGAATACAGCCTTTTTGCTAGGCTTTTTCACTGATTTTCAGAAGATCAGTGCTCTGTTTTCACTGGTCCAGAATGCAATCCAAATGCCAACCTGAAGCAAGATAAAAAGCACGTGTTTTTAAATCTGGAATTGGGTAAACTGAGTTGATGTCATAAGCGCTTCATTTATCAGTTCTCCTCTGTACAGGATTTGCTGTCATTTGAATTGCTGGATATTAATATTGTCCAAGAACTGGAGCGTGTTCCCCACAATACACCTGTAGGTGAGTCTGTCGTCCTACTTTGTCAGTGTCTGTATTGTAACAATATTATTTTTTTCATGCTGTATGCCCTAATAGTCTGTTTCTTTTTAGATATGACACCCTGTATGTCTCCTCTGCCACATGATGGACCTTTAATTGAAAAGCCAGGATTGGGGCAAATAAAAGAGGAGAGTGATGGTGCTGGTGAGTGTGTCATTAAAATATGAATTGCAGTTTTTATGATATTTATAAGAAAAAGAGAGGAAGGCGCTCTAAGTGCAGTATTAACAATTTATTAGTAGACAATGGAAAATTTTCACTTACAAGATAAACGGTTAAAAAGACTCATCATGTGGTAATTGGATCCAGGTGGGACATCCAGCCGTCCAGCAGCAAGCTATGCCTATAGGATCAGGAGGTAGAGTCCAGGATGTGCCTGTGCATCAAAAATGAAGCTTGGAGAGCAGAGTCAGATGTAGCAGGTAAAAGGGGCGGTAATGCATTTCGGAGCATGCTCAATAGGCTCCTTCTTCAGACCTGAGCCCCAGTAGAACCCTGACATTTTTTATAGTGTGGAGGAAATGGGAGAGAGGCAAGTAATTCCTGGGTCCTAAGGACCTACATGTTTTCCTGCATCGTACAGGAATTAATACAATTATAAAAACAGAAATAAAAATAGAAATAAAAATAAAAAACACACGAGAGAATAGCTCTAATGCTTTTGGGTTAAGATGTGTACGAGTGTGTATGTATACATAGAATAACATATTCAATAGAAGGGAAATAGAAAATGACAATTAAATCTAAAAATAAATAGAATGGAACAGTGGAGGTGAAAATAAATAATAATAATGAATAAATCAATGAGGTAATGAAAAAGGTAGATTACTGTACCATAAATAAAAATTAATAGAAATGAATATAAAAGCAAAATAAAAACAAAGTTTGAAAATCGCATTTTAATAAAAACGCATTTTAATTTAATACTGCACTTAGAGGCGCCTTCCTCTCTTTTTCTTGTTACTGCATTGGAGCCTTGCTTCCACTCTAAGAAGAGCTGCCTCAATGTTACTGCTTCCATCCATCCCTGATATCCATCTGGCACCTTTATCTTACAGCTACAGAGGTTGGGCTCCAACAAGCGCGCCCTATATAATATACATTTTATGATATTTATACACCATCATAACCGGCTGTCAGCCAAGAGCTGTTACGGATCTAATGTGCCAATACTCTACTTGTGTATGGGCATATCACTAGTTCACCTTGTCATTCTATTTATCTATCCATTCAGTCATATCCGACCCTTGGCGATTGCATGGACCGTCACTCCTAAGCGACTTTTTCCATGAATTCTTTTAGCAATTATTTTACAGGGTAGATTGCCAGGTCTTTCCCCAACCCAACCATGCAGGAGATCCCGCATGGCCAGAGATGAAACTAGGACAATTTAGACAGGAGCCAATTAACCTACCAGCATGTCTTTGGAGTGTGGGAGGGAACCAGAGTACCCGGAGGAAACCCATGCGAACACAGGGAGAACATGCAAACTCCATGCAGGAGGCGCCATGGTTGGGAATTGCTAACCACTAAGCCACTGTGCCGCCCCACCTTGTCGTTACCTTTTTTAAATGGTACTGAAACTTCACAATGTTCTCACATGACTCTATATATAATAATTCAATTTGGTTGACGTTAGATCAACCTAACAAGAAAGACGAAGAAAACCCTAACTATTATTATCTTTATAAATGCTCCCTCCTCCCTCCTTCTACGCTACCTGCCTAATCTGTAAAATAAACATCTATGTACTTGCCTATTTTTAATCCACTTTGGTCTGGTCACCTGATCCCACAGCTTAGGCTCCCCTATGTCATTGAGCACGGGAGAGGATAGAATGCTGACAACTGCTGGGCCATGAACAGAGCTGATGGTTTACTGAAATGTCAGTTCTGCATTGGCATATTCCTATCCTGTTCATTCTGATAAGTTTTAGAGGATACATTGCAACTAGAGACATCATGCACATTTGGGGGACTTGTCGAATGGCTACGAAGACTCTGGACCAAAATATTTAAAGTGGTTCTAAAGGCTGAACATTTTGCATAGAGTACATGAAGGTAAAATTCCTTCTGTGTGTAGCGCCACTCCCAGCCCCCATAACACTTACCTGACCCTGATCTCTGTGTCTCTGAGATGGTAGTAGGAACCATTGGCTCCCGCTGCTGTCACAGTCAGTGAGGGAGGCAGCAGGGGGTGGGGCTGAGTTGCACTTTGTGTGTCTATGGACATGCAAGATGGGCCTAGGGAGTGAGCACGTACTTGCCACGTAAGTGGCTTGCTATGGAGGCACTCAGTGGGGCGAGGAACCAGGAGCGGCTACGGAGGTCCTGAACAGAGGATCAGGGCTGCTCTGTTCCACAGAGCAGGTAAGCATAACATGTTTGTTATTTTTTTTTATTTTACATTTTAGTGTAACTTTAAACTTCTACAAAGCGTATTTCATACGCACATCCCTAAAGATTTCTAGCTGGTGTTGCTCCGTCTCTAATCCCCCTCCCTTACTTATCTCCAGCACACCTATATTCTATTAGCAAATAAGCAATCTATAGTACTAAAGTCATTGGTATGCTCTTTTTTTCAGAATGTACTTTGTAGTATATGAAACATATTACTTTATGTCAGCAATGCACTAACATATGTCCAGACTCTACACTTACAAGTGTATCTTTGTAAAAAAAAAAAGCTCAAAAACTCTGAAATTTCAATGTCAGCTTTGGTTTTGGGTTTAAATTTGTACAGATGGTCAGTCTTGCTTGAGATGATATCAAAAAGTATCACAGACAATACTTCAAGGTCAAGTAAGGACTAGCATTGCATTGCTTTTTTTAAAGGGGAACCCCAGAAATGTGGTTAAACACAACTTTGGTCAAAGGTATTTGCTAAGCTGCATGTTACAGGACCAATTTAAAATAGAGTATTCATAAAAAGTGAGATTACTTAGCCTGCCAATTTATCTAAAGTAATTGAAAACTTTAAAAAATTCCTTTTTGTGATGAATAGACAACTTCCGTAGTTAAGTGAGTTTTGAGTGAAAAATAAACAGAAGATCCTAGTCTAAAAGGCATTTCAACTCAATAGGGGCTCTACGTAGCATTAGCATAATCAATAGCATTGATGAGTTGTAGACACATAGAAGTTGTAGATAACGTGTATGTTGTTTTACTGTGGTGTAACTTACTGTTATGGCCAAACCAGTTACAGTGGGGCAAAAAAGTATTTAGTCAGCCACCAATTGTGCAAGTTCTCCCGCTTAAAAAGATGAGAGAGGCATGTAATTGGCATCATAGGTAGACCTCAACTATGAAAGACAAAATGAGAAAAAAAATCCAGACAATCACATTGGCTGATTTGGAAAGAATTTTTTTTGCAAATTATGGTGGAAAATAAGTATTTGGTCAATATCAAAAGTTCATCTCAATACTTTGTTATATATCCTTTGTTGGCAATGACAGAGGTCAAACGTTTCCTGTAAGTCTTCACAAGGTTGGCACACACTGTTGCTGGTATGTTGGCCCATTCCTCCATGCAGATCTCCTCTAAAGCAGTGATGTTTTGGGGCTGTCGCTGGGCAACATGGACTTTCAACTCCGTCCAAAGGTTTTCTATGGGGTTGAAATCTGGAGACTGGCTAGGCCACAGGACCTTGAAATGCTTCGTTGCCACTCCTTCGTTGCCTGGGCGGTGTGTTTGGGATCATTGTCATGTTCGAAAACCCAGCCACGTTTCATCTTCAGTGCCCTTGCTGATGGAAGGAGGTTTGCACTCAAAATCTCACGATACATGGCCCCATTCATTCTGTCCTGTACATGGATCAGTCGTCCTGGTCCCTTTGCGGAGAAACAGCCCCAAAGCATGATGTTGCCACCCCCATGCTTTACAGTGGGTATGGTGTTCTTTGGATGCAACTCAGCATTCTCTCTCCTCCAAACACGACGAGTTGTGTTTCTACCAAACAGTTCTATTTTGGTTTCATCTGACCATATGGCATTCTCCCAATCCTCTTCTGGATCATCCAAATGCTCTCTAGCAAACGTCAGACGGGCCCTGACATGTACTGGCTTAAGCAGGGGGACACGTCTGGCACTGCAGGATCTGAGTCCCTGGTGGCGTAGTGTGTTTCTGATGGTAGCCTTTGTTACGTTGGTCCCAGCTCTCTGCAGGTTATTCACTAGGTCCCCCCGTGTGGTCCTGGGATTTTTGCTCACCGTTCTTGTGATCATTTTGACCCCACGGGGTGAGATCTTGCGTGGAGCCCCAGATTGAGGGAGATTATCAGTGGTCTTGTATGTCTTCCATTTTCTAATTATTGCTCCCACAGTTGATTTGTTCACACCAAGCTGCTTGCCTATTGCAGATTCAGTCTTCCCAGCCTGGTACAGGTCTACAATTTTGTTTCTGGTGTCCTTCGACAGCTCTTTGGTCTTCACCATAGTGGAGTTTGGAGTGTGACTGTTTGAGGTTGTGGACAGGTGTCTTTTATACCGATAACAAGTTCAAACAGGTGCCATTGATACAGGTAATGAGTGCAGGACAGAGGAGCCTCTTAAAGAAGAAGGTACAGGTCTGTGAGAGCCAGAAATCTGGCTTGTTTGTAGGTGACCAAATACTTATTTTGCACCATAATGTGCAAATAAATTCTTTCTAAATCAGCCAATGTGATTGTCTGGATTTTTTTTTCTCATTTTGTCTCTCATAGTTGAGGTCTACCTATGATGCCAATTACAGGCCTCTCTCATCTTTTTAAGCGGGAGAACTTGCACAATTGGTGGCTGACTAAATACTTTTTTGCCCCACTGTATGTTTCCCACTTAACAGACAATACAAAGCAACTTTTGATCTGGTACACTGGTTATATGTCTGCAAGACTACAGATCTATACCAAAAACCCCAACAGTTCCACAATCCTACCAATGTTTGAAACACTCCTACATTCGACCTTATTTTGTCATCATCTATCTGAACAACCTTTTGCTGCCAGACCCTGCGCTCCACTTTTAAACTCCAGTGAAAATCATACATTTTCTCAAAGCACATGACTAGAATCAGTAGAATCATGAGTGATGAGTAGAATAAAAACAAGGTGCTAGTGATTTTTAAGGCCCCGTGATATTTTCACAAATGTTTATAAAAAATATTTTTGCTAAAAATCCTCTAAAAGCATTATTAGCAGAGAAACACACAGCATATTTTACAAAATTCCTGCTAAATTCCTACTAAATTTAAAAGCTAAACCTGTATTGAGTTACTAAAGAGCGAATATTAATTTTAAATTGCACCCTTTTTGAAATTATGAAAATGGAAGGTGCACAAAACTGTAAATAACTAACTAACTTTCTCTAAAAAATCTGGAGGTTTTCATTTTTCTCTTACAGCTTTCAGTGTCTGTAAAAGACTCCCAACCCAAAAACCATACATATTCTGAAAGCATAGAACCAGGAGAATAAAAAGAAGATGCTACTGATTAATTTAAATGTATTTTGTTGTGATTTTATGTAATAGACCAACACAAAAGGGCGCATAATTGTGAAATGGAAGGAAGATGATAAATAATGTAAATTTTTTTACAAATATCTGAAAAGTGTGGTGTGAATTTGTATCCAGTCCCCCTGAGTCAGTACTTTGTAGAACCACCTTTCACTACAATTACAGCTGCAAGTCTTTTTGGGGATGTCTCTACCAGCTTTGCACATCTAGAGAGTGAAATGTTTGCCCATTCTTCTTGGCAAAATAGTTCAAGTTCTGTCAGATTGGATGGTGAGCGTCTGAACAGCAATTTTCCAGTCTTGCCACAGATTCTCAATTGGATTTAGGTCTGGACTTTGACTGGGCCATTCTAACACATGAATATGCTTTGATCTAAACTATTCCATTGTAGCTCTGGCTGTATGTTTAGGGTCATTGATCTGCTGGAAAGTGAACCTCTGCCCCAGTCTCAAGTCTTTTGCAGACTCTAACAGGTTTTCTTCTAAGATTGCCTTGTATTTGGCTCCATCCATCTTCCTATCAACTCTGACCAGCTTTCCTGACCTTGCTGAAGAAAAGCATCCCCACAACATGATGCTGCCACCAACATGTTTCACGTGTTAGTTTTCCGCCACAGATTGCGTTTTTGCCTTTAGGCCAAAAAGTTCAATTTTGGTTTCATCTGACCAGAGCACCTTCTTCCACGTTTGCTGTATCTTGAACATGGCTTCTCACAAATGGGACTTCTTATGGCTTTCTTTCTACAGTGTTTTTCTTCTTGCCACTCTTCCATAAAGGCCAGATTTGTGGGGTGCACGACTGATAGTTGTCCTGTGGACAGAATCTCCCACCTGAGCTGTGGATCTCTGCAGCTCCTACCATAGGCCTCTTGGCTGCTTCTCTGATTATTGCTCTCCTTGCCCAGCCTGTCAGTTTAGGTGGATGGCCATGTCTTGGTAGGTTTGCAGTTGTGCCATACTCTTTCCATTTTCGGATGATGGACTGAACAGTGCTCTGTGAGATGTTCAAAGCTTGGGATAGTTTTATAACCTAACCCTGCTTTAAACTTCTCACCAACTTTATCTCTGACCTGTCTGGCGTGTTCCTTGGCCTTCATGATGCTGTTTGTTCACTAATGTTCTTTAACAAACCTCTGAGGGCTTCACAGAACAGCTGTATTTATACTGAGATTAAATTACACACAGGTGAACTCCGTTTACTAATCAGGTGACTTCTGAAGGCAGTTGGTTCCACTAGATTTTAGTTAGGGGTATCGAAGTAAAGGGGGCTGAATACAAATGCACGCCACACTTTTCAGATATTTATTTGTAAAAAAAATTTGAAAACCATTTATCATTTTCCTTTCACGTCACAATTGTGTGCAACTTTTTGTTGGTCTATCACATAAAATACATTTATGTTTTTGGTTGTGACATGACAAAATGTGGAAAATTTCAAGAGTGTGAATACTTTTTCAAGACACTGTATATGAAACGTACAGAGACCATGATTTATAAAATACACATGTGAACACACATATAGAAAAAAAAGTACTTGGTGTAGCATAGACGTTAAGCCTGTTGGTAAACTGCTCAAATGCAAAACAAGTGCCAAATAAAAGGAGCTGACCTAATTTTACATCAGGAACAAGGAAGAAAGAGCAGAGTGAATTATTGATGAGCTCATCAGTCTGCTGTTTCTCCTTCCCTGGTCCATTCACAGGGATTGGAGTAGGGGGAAGACCCTGCAGGGTTACTGACCTGCAGCACAGAAAAGTCAGGCCTCTTTCCCTACCAGACAGGGCTGTGCTATGTAGCAGAGATGTGTAAACCTCAGGACTGGATGGACAGAAATACTATTTATGCAGCACTTTACATATATATTGTACATTCACATCAGTCCCTGCCTTAAAGGAGCGTACAATCTAAGGTCCCTAACTCACATTCATACATACACATACTAGGAGTAATTTAAATGGGAACCAATTAATCTACCAGCATGTCTTTGGAATGTGAGAGGAAACCCGAGTGCCCAGAGGAAACCCATACAGGCACAGGGAGAAAATGCAAAGTTCAGGCAGGTGGTGCTGTTGTATGGAATGTGAACTGTCAACTCTAGTGCTGCCAGGTGGAAGTGCTAACTACTTAGCCACTGATGTAACTCATGCACCCGAACATGGGAGTCCCAGCATAAATTCGTCCAAAGACTGTACATTAAGATGTGCAAGGCAGCATGAGTATTTCTTTTGTGTTAACTTTAAAAAATTATTTACCCCAACAGTGAAAAAGTCCAAGGAAGCTGTGGAGGGTATCACCACTCAGGAAGAGACAGAAGAGGACATCAGTGGGACTCAGTTTGTATGTGAAACAGTGATGAGGAGTTTGACTCTCGATGCGGCTCCAGACTACAATCCACCACAAAAGAAGAGTTCCCCCCATGGCGAGTAAAACAAACCTATTTGTGGTAATTAGCTTATATGAGGCTCATCCCTGTTTAACTACTTGCCCTCCAGAGGATTTACGCCCCTTCCTGACCAGGCCATTTATGCGTTACGGCTCTGAATTATTTTTAATGGACAATTGCTTGGTCATGTAACACTGCACCCAAATGAAATTTAGGTCCTTTTTTTCCCCACAAATTGAGCTTTCTTTCAGTTCTTTTTGATCGCCTTTGCGGTTTAAATTTTTTGCACTATAAAAAAAAAAAAAAGACCAACAATTTTGAGAAAAAAAAATATTTTGGACTTTTTTTGCTATTAAATATGTCCAGTATAAAAAATTAAAAAAATTAATTTCATCATAAATTTAGGTCAAAATGTATTCTGCTACATGCCTTTGCTAAAACAAAATCCCAATACGTGTAAATTAATTGGTTTACATGAAAGTTATAGCATTTGCAAATGGTGATATATATATCAGCGACTTATAGCGGGACTGTGGCGGGCATTCTGACGCTGGGGGGAACTGACTTGGTATCACTGACATCCCCAGTGACACCAATACAGTGATCAGTGCTAATAAAAATAACTGACACTGTACTAATGGCACTGGGCATGAAGGGTTTAACATGTGGAGTGATCAAAGGGTTAACTGTGTGCCATTTGACATCATGTCCTGTGTGTGTGCTTCATTGTACAGGGAGGAGAACTGTTTTGTTTACGAACAGTTCTCTGGCCCCCCATCCCACCCCGTCGGAGATCCTCGGTAATCAACAGGCCGAGACCCGGTGATTTCAGTCACGGCCGCGAATGGCTGTGCACCCTGAAATTAAAAATCCCATATATACAGTCAGGTCCATAAATATTGGGACATTGACACAATTCTAACATTTTTGGCTCTATACACCACCACAATGGATTTGAAATGAAACGAACAAGATGTGCTTTAACTGCAGACTGTCAGCTTTAATTTGAGGGTATCTACATCCAAATCAGGTGAACGGTGTTGGAATTAAAACAGTTTGCATATATGCCTCCCACTTGTTAAGGGACCACAAGTAATGGGACAATTGGCTTCTCAGCTGTTCCATGGCCAGGCGTGTGTTATTCCCTCATTATCCCAATTACTATGAGCAGATAAAAGGTCCAGACTTCATTTCAAGTGTGCTATTTGCATTTGGAATCTGTTGCTGTCAACTCTCAAGATGAGATCCAAAGAGCTGTCACTTTCAGTGAAGCAAGCCATCATTAGGCTGAAAAAAACAAAACAAACCCATCAGAGAGATAGCAAAAACATTAGGCGTGGCCAAAACAACTGTTTGGAACATTCTTAAAAAGAAGGAATGCACCGGGGAGCTCAGCAACACCAAGAGACCCAGAAGACCACGGAAAACAACTGTGGTGGATGACCGAAGAATTCTTTCCCTGGTGAAGAAAACACCATTCACAACAGTTGGCCAGATCAAGAACACTCTCCAGGAGGCAGGTGTATGTGTGTCAAAGTCAACAATCAAGAGAAGACTTCACCAGAGTGAATACAGAGGGTTCACCACAGATGTATACCATTGGTGAGCATCAAAAACAGGAAGGCCAGATTAGAGTTTGCCAAACGACATCTAAAAAAGCCTTCACAGTTCTGGAACAACCTCCTATGGACAGATGAGACCAAGATCAACTTGTACCAGAGTGATGGGAAGAGAAGAGTATGGAGAAGGAAAGGAACTGTTCATGATCCTAAGCATACCACCTCATCAGTGAAGCATGGTGGTGGTAGTGTCATGGCGTGGGCATGTATGGCTGCCAATGAAACTGGTTCTCTTGTATTTATTGATGATGTGACTGCTGACAAAAGCAGCAGGATGAATTCTGAAGTGTTTCGGGCAATATTATCTGCTCATATTCAGCCAAATGCTTCAGAACTCATTGGACGCCTCTTCACAGTGCAGATGGACAATGACCCAAAGCATACTGCAAAAGCAACCAAAGAGTTTTTTAAGGGAAAGAAGTGGAATGTTATGCAATGGCCAAGTCAATCACCTGACCTGAATCCGATTGAGCATACATTTCACTTGCTAAAGACAAAATTGAAGGGAAAATGCCCCAAGAACAAGCAGGAACTGAAGACAGTTGCAGTAGAGGCCTGGCAGAGCATCACCAGGGATGAAACCCAGCGTCTGGTGATGTCTATGCGTTCCAGACTTCAGGCTGTAATTGACTGCAAAGGATTTGCAACCAAGTATTAAAAAGTGAAAGTTTGATTTATGATTATTATTCTGTCCCATTACTTTTGGTCCCTTAACAAGTGGGAGGCACATATGCAAACTGTTGTAATTCCTACACCGTTCACCTGATTTGGATGTAAATACCATCAAATTAAAGCTGACAGTCTGCAGTTAAAGCACATCTTGTTCGTTTCATTTCAAATCCATTGTGGTGGTGTATAGAGCCAAAAATGTTAGCATTGTGTTGATGTCCCAATATTTATGGACCTGACTGTATATACGTGATTTTGAGCACAGCTGCTGCCCTGTAGCAGTATTTCTGCTATGGGGCGGAGCTAAAGCAGTAAAGTTTTCATAGAATATTAATGATTGTAATCTCCTGTCTAGGTTCCCATCAGTCATCACCACAGTCAAGTTTCTACTATAGTAAGAAGTCTGATCATGATATCACTCAGAATTCCTTCTCTGTGGTTTGTAGACCAGTTTCAGAGCAGTCCACAGTCAGAGATACACAAAATCTGGAACAGAAAACTGATACAGGTAAGGAGGCATGCTTGACAGGTGCCTAATATGATTATTGCCTTCATGCCTAGTTTCCATACTCAACGTAACAAATTGCTGAGAGTATGGACTGTTATTTTGTCATAAACCTTTCTTCCAGTCTTTCAACATTTGTGTATATTGAGCCACACATATGCTGCTCTGCATATGTTTATGGTCTGTCTCTGTGTCATGATGGTGTCTCTTGTGTGCATGAGCAGGAGTAACGTCATCAAATGACCGAAGAGTCTGAACATAGAAGGAAAAAAGGAAAAGATGGCCCATGACACCACAGCATTGGAGGGGATCACTTGTGTGCCAAAAAGATAAATTCTGTCATAATGTTCTAATATGTAGTGCAAACTAGCACATTTCAGCTAAAAGCTCCTTGGGCCCAATGTTGTTTTGTTTTTTGTTTGCAGGGGGTTTAATTCTGCTTTAAATTGGATCTGAACTCATCTAATGAAGATTTGCTAGATTATAGGGAACATCTAACATGTTTTTTGTGCCTAAATAGTATCCTAAACAATATACCGTTTTTGTCTTGAACTCCTCTGGAAAAACAGCAGTGCACTTCCTGACATATGAGGGTGCCTAGGCATTCCTGTCCCCACAGTCTTAGGGTCCATGCACACTAGCTTAAATAAAAATGTTGCATCTGGAGGAGTTTAGCTTTTCACCTGTGGAACCAGCTCAGTGTTATCCTATGTGTCCTTGCACATTAGGACATTTAGAGGCATATTTTAAGGTCAGCGTGTAGAGGCAGAAAAAACCCTTCTGTGTAGTGTTTTTTTTATCTGCTAGAAAAGCACTCTTGAAAATGCAAACCACGCCTAAACGCTAGTACAAAAAAATGCTCAAATTAGCTTTTTTTTTTTTTTCTTCTAAGGGCACTTGTGGTTTTTTGAGCCAGTGTACATAGGCCCTGCAATGTGAGATCTAAAGCACTGCTGTCTCAGGAGAATTGGAGTAAGATTTAGTGATTTTACTAATGTGCTGCTTGCTTGAGAAGAATCTGCACTGCATTAACCTATGCATTCAAAATGCATAGCACACACTTTGGTTAAATTACTGAAATTAACCTCATGTGTACCAACACTAATGCTACCTAGCATTAGATTAAAGGACATTAGGGGAGTGTTTACATTTTTACAAGAAGGGAGGGATTTCAAGTGGTTCTAAAGCCTTAAGGTTTTTTACCTTAATACATTCTGTGCTGCAGGATCCCCCCCTCACCATCCTTTAATACTTACCTGAACCCAATCTTGATCCAGCTCTCTCTTTCTCCCTCCTTACAGTGCAGACTGATAATGGGAGCCATTGGCTCCAACTGCTGTTTATCAAATCCTGTGATGAGGGCAAAGGGCAGGGCAATGCCCCATTGTCTATGTCAATGAACACAGGTAGTGAGGCTAGTGGGGTGCTCTGATGGTGAGGAGTGACCACGGGGGACCTCAGAAGACAAGGATCAGGGCTGCTCTGTGCAAAACCATTGCATGTTTGTGATTTAAAAAAAAAAATAAAAGGTTTACAGGGCTCAAAATGTAAAGTTCTGAGCTACTAGCCAGGACTTAAGGACTTAAACCCACCCAACCCCTACCCTGCCCTGCTCTTAATTCCACCCCTAAACACACACTCGTAAATTATCTTATGAAATGGCACTGTTAAGCCCCCAGTCACATCGGGTGCAATTTTCATGCCAGGTGACTTGCAAATCGTATGCCAAGTTGTGCCCTATTGTCTGCTATTAGAGCGGTCATATCGGTGCGGTTCTGACTTGTTCGGAGCCGCACCGATTTCTAAAGTTGTGCATGCACTACTTTTGTTGCAATTTGCATAGACATCTGTGTCAGATGTCTTGCAAATCGCAAGGAAATCAGCAGGTCACCGGATTTTGAAATCGTGTAACTTCACTGTAAGGGAAGGAAGGGAGGGGTGGGTGGAAGGAAGGGAGAGGTGGAAGGAAGGGAGGGGAGGAAGGAAAGAAGTGATGGGTAGAAGAGAGGTTTGGGTGGAAGGAAGAAAGGGAGAGGTGGGTGGAAGGAAGAAAGGGAGGGGTGGGTGGAAGGAAGAAAGGGAGGGGTGGGTGGAAGGAAGGTAGGTCAGACTCACATGCTCAGTTAGATGCATCACAGCTGTCGACTGCTCTGTGTACCATTTCCGGCCCACACATTCTCTGAAGCTGCACGGACTGGAGTGTGGACGGGCACAGGGGGGAGGCAGAGTAGATCCAGCCTCTCTCCCCTCTTCTCCTATTGGTGCGGAGGATTGGAGGAGGGGCTGGGCACTGAGGAGCACACATGGGGGGGCGCAGAAAGAAACAGTACATTCGGGGATGATCTGTGCAGCTGGGAGCAGTAACAAGCAGCCATCTGCTGTATGGCTTTCAATGAAGCAGCTAGAAGCCGCTTCTCCTCCTCTCCCTCTTGCGGCTTTCAGCTGCTTCATTGAAAGCCATAAAAGAGATCGCTGCTTGTCACTGCCACCCCTCCCTTATTATTTCCACCAATTTCGAGGCTGGTTTAACATCACATCAAGATTTTTCAGCTTGGGTTTTATCATTATTATTTTTTAAATTCTGGATTGAAGAACATTTGCGCAAGAAACATTTGATCCATATGGCCTTCAAGGGACAATGTCTCTTCAGACTGGCTCTTTAAAACATTATCATGGATGCAGAAGGTGGCAAGAGCACCCATTTTTCCCATCAGAAAAGGCCTAAGAATCACACTGCAAATTTGTTTCCCTCTGACTGTCAAGTATTGTCACTTTTCATTTCTCCAGTCCCTCGACCTCAACTTTGAGACTTCCCCAAACATGGCTCCTAATCCACCCTTAAAGTCTAGCATTCCAAGTCTGGCAAATCTTTACATATGCCTTTCTCTGCATGAAGGTGGGACTCCATTTTCCAGATTGGGGGGATCTCTGGTAAATTTTGCAGACACTTGGACAACTTGGATTTTGGATGCTTGGGTGCAGGAGGCAATGTCAAAGGGCTACTTACTCATTTCCCTCCCTACCCCCTGCTTGTTTCCTCATTTCCAACCTTTTTGTGTCTCTAACCAGACTAGCAGATCTTCATCAAACCCTCTTGGGTCTTTTGGATCAAGGTGTTATTGCCACAGTTTGAGCGGTCTTACTGCAACCAGTTCACTGTTCCCAGACCAAATGGGGGCATTTGCCCCATCTTGGATCTGAATGTTTACATTTGGATCCCAAAATTCTAGATGGAATCCTCCAGAGCTGTCATTGCCTCCCTCCACCAGGAAGACTTCCTGGCTTATGTGGACCTTAAAGATACTCGCTTTCATGTACCCATCTTTCTAGTGCATTAGCAATTTTTCTACATTTTCTATGGGGTCCCTGCACTTCCAGTTCGTGGCCTCGCCCCTTCACCCTCTGCTCTACACCTCAGGTGTTCACTAAGGTGCTAACTCTAGTGTTAGCCTGTTGCATACAACTTTAAATGTTTTTTTTACCTTAGTTACCAGAACAGACATCAGGAGTTATTTACTGCATGGTGCAAAATCTGGTGCAGCCTAGCATAGAAACCAAACGGCATCCAGGTTTTATAGTCAAAGCTTAATTGAACAAGCTGAAGTTAGCACAGCTGCACCAGTTTTAATAAATCTCCCCCATAGAGTCTGCTGCACAATTCCCAATCACTGGTAACCCCTTTTTGTATTTTTGAAGTTGGTACAGGCTTTATATATACAATGTGTTTCAGACAATCTATGTAACAAATGCTTTGTTGAGTTTATCTGAAGATGTGATTACAAAATATTTGTGAGCTCATTACATATTTTTGTATATTTCTTGTCTTAGCAATGACTGACATCCAAGCAGATGATCTATATGAGGTGGAACAACCAATCCGAGAAGAGAATCAGAGAGATGAAGTAGAAAGCCAGGCTTCCAGTGACTCTGCTGAAGATTACATCATCATTCTGCCTGAGTGCTTTGACACCAGCAAGCCTCTTGGCGAGTCCATGTACTGCTCAGCCCTCTCTGAGTCCCAAAGTGACAAGGAGAAAGATGCAGAGGTCACAGTGGATGAAGAGACTTGTGAAGATAGTGTCCCTGTCCAGACTCACACTATCAATGACATTCTTACCACATCACAGACTCTGGACACTGTACCGCTCACCCCAGAAATACTGACACCATCACCTTGCTTGAGGTAGGAAAAGTATTAGGAACATAATTTTGTAATGTTGGCTTTTGCAAAAAATGTCTGGTGTGTGATAATAGGGCTTGTAAATATCGCCTTCCTTGCAACTGCATCATTAAATCAGTCAATAGTTAAAAAAAAAAAAAATATATATATATATATATATATATATATATATGTGGCTATATATCATACCAGCAATGGTAATTCAACTGAAACTTTGACCTTGCTGACTTTAGCAAATGTTTGACACATTTATAAATAGCAGGCACTGTGGTTTGTATGTAGAAACTGATTTTTGGACCCACCTTAGCACCTACATTATCCTGCTGTAAACTGTCCTAATAATATCTCCTTATACTGCCGTAAACTGGTCTAATAATATCACATAATATGAGCTTGTACTTTATAAAGTAACAGTTTTGCTTGATCTCTAGTTCCACATGGAGTATGTACCTGCATTTTTAGCACTCATTTGGCCATTGCAGCATCCTTAAATCCTGTGCTCAGGCACCATGATTGCTGTATTAAAGAATAAATTCAACTTTTATAAAAGGAAAAAAAAAATAATAGATGCACATCTTTTTTGCAGGTAAGAAAGCCTGTAAAGCATTGCACCCATGATCAGTAGATCCAGGTGTAATGCCAGGATCCTGCACACTTCAGTACACTTTCCTGTTGACTAGGAAAGTTGGTATGGCATCGGGTAGTGAGAGAGATGGAGACTAATGGAAAATGAATTGATATAAAGCAAGAGTGATGGTGATAAGGAGGATAGGTGGTACCCTAACGAGCATATAGCATTAAAGGATAAAGACAAGAATCTGGAGGCTGGGAAACTTCTCTGTCCCAACTCTTTTAATAGCGATTCTGTCTTTTTTTTTTGTTTACAAACGGTTTTATTGTACAAAAGTAGACTGTAAAACAACAGTACATTTTCAAATGATACTTACAGCAAAAACAAGGCACTTTTGAAAAGTACAATACAGAAAAGTATATTAATGAAAGAAAGAGAAGAAATAGAAAAGAGTAGGTAGCAAGTACATGAAATATGTAGATGATAAGGTAGATTGAATGATACATCTGTCAACAGTATATGCCAGTCAACTTTCATTGGGAATGTTATTAATTATGCATTAAATGTCTATAATCCTTCCATGACTCCCATTTTTTATCAAATAAGTGCATCTTATTCAGTAGGGTATAAGGAATACGTTCCATGAGCATTACAGCATCAATTCTGTGTAAAACGGAGGCCAAGGGTACAGAATTGGACTTCCAATGTAAGGCAATAGACCATAAAGTGGCAATACATATAGTATGTATCAATCTCATAATGGCATCAGAGACCCCTGGGATATGAGCCCCCAATAGACAGGTCTGTAAAGATAATCGTACCGGGGTACCCACCAGTGAGGTAGCCACCTCAGATATCTTGCAGCAAATAATAGATATGGTCGGGCAATCCCAAACTATATGAACCAAAGTACCTGTGAGGCCACAGCCCCGGAAACATAAAGGGGACGTTTGTGGGAACAGTACATGTAGTCTTGATGGGGTATAATACCATCTAGTTAAAACCTTGAGGGCCGTCTCTCGAACAGAAAGAGATCGAGAACACCTACATATGTTATCCACCATGGAATCCCAATCCTCATCCAAAAAAGTGATACCACTATCTTCCTCCCATTTTTGTCTATATAGGGGGGGGGTGTATGAAAAAGACAGATCAAAGATTGGTGATAAAGATCAGAAATAAGACCCCTTCCCCTAGGAGAGTCACGGCTGATACGTTCAAAAAAGGAAATCGGAGAAGATGGCACAAGGCCAAAGTGTGAACCAAAAAAATGTCTAATCTGTCGGTAACGATGGTACTCACGAAGAGGGATATCAAAAAGCACGCGCAGCATATCAAAGGTAATATAAGATCCTCCTCTTTGAAAATCAGATAATCTGATAAAAGAGCGATCATACCACCAACGAAACGTTTGAGGGGAAGAAAAAGCTGCAACAAAAGTAGGATCACCAAAAAGTGAAACACCTGGGGGAATAGAAGAGACCAGATTCAATTTAGATTTGTATTTTGACCAAAGTGTCAGTGAATGGGTCACTATAGAGTTATGAAAGGTTAGCGAGCGAGGGGAAATTTTGGACCACAAAATACCCGGTAAATAGAATGGGCGTATAGACTGAGATTCAAACTTGATCCATGGGATCTGAAAGTTAATAGTTGCCCATTGTGATAGTTGCGTAAAAACGAGCCGAGAGGTAATATAGCCAAAAATTGGGAAGGCCGAGGCCTCCCATCCGTTGTGAGCGGTACAAAACAGATGAAGCAAAACGTGGACGCTTATTACCCCAAATAAACTTGTTGATAGTCCGCTAAAAGTGGTCCAAAAATGTTTTCAAAATCGGGATTGGAAGAGCTCTAAAAAGATAAAGTAGTTTAGGCAAAATATTCATTTTTAACCGCCGTGACTCTACCCAGGAAGGAAATAGGGTAACCATGCCAAATCTTCAATAGAGTAGAGAGACGTGATACACATGTTGGATAATTAGCCACAAACATATCCGAGTATCTGGGAGTGAGATGAATACCTAAATAAGATATCTGGTCCATGGCCCAATGAAATGGAAAAGAACTACGGAGAGATGCACTTAGGGGATCAGGAACATTAACAGGCATAATCACTGATTTGGTAAAATTAACAGTAAGACCTAACGCTATAGCAAAATCGTTCAATACGGCACATAAATTAGGCAATGAAGTTAACGGGTTAGTAAGAAAAAGCATAACATCATCAGCATACATGCTTATTTTGAAATGTGAAACTAATAATGGGTAGCCAGAAATATCCGGATGTGATCTGATCTCTACTGCCAAGGGTTTTCCAACACCAGCGCAAATAAAAGGGGTGAAAGAGAACAGCCCTTACTGGTACCTCTACCCAAGGTAAAAAATTCAGAATTACAGCCAGGAAGCCTTATTCTCGTGCACATCCTAAAGGTGTAAGAGATAGAAATGAGGAAAATCCCTGTATCCCGATTCTTGTGTCAGTCATAGTAAACTGTGGACCAGGACTAGGGACTATCAAAACCATGGGTAATAGGCAAATGAGCATAGTCATATCAACCCGGTTCTTGTTGGACTCTCCTTCTATCCCTCCGTGGAGATGGAGTATGCCAAATGGGAAAGACACGAGGGGTAGAGGGTGGACGTTGAGGTGATGGGGCATCCGCTAGGCCCAATTTGGCCAAAATTTCTCTACCTTCAGGAAGGGATGTGGCTATATATGTGCTCCCATTGTGAGGAACTATCAGCTTAAAAGGAAAGCCCCATTTATATCGGATACAAGCTGAGAAAAGGGCAGTGGTAACTTCTTTCATTTTTCTACGTTTCTCCAACGTAGCCGAAACATCTGAAAAGATTTGTAAAACCGAGCCTTCAAAGGAGATCGTTGGGGTATTGCGAGCAGCTCGAAGTATGTCTTCTCTTTGGTCCGAAAATCCTTCATACACAGGACAATGTCCCTATGCGGTTTATCGTTAGGAGGTTTAGGGCGCAGGGCTCTGTGGATGCGGTCACAAGCAAAGGATCCAGGGTCACGCTCTGGAAGTGATTTGTGATTTGAATAACTTGGTTATGGTTTGTGAAAGATCAAACACAGACTCCGGGATTCCCCTGACTCGCAGATTATTCCTGCGGTTTCGATTATCAAGGTCCTCAACCTGCGCCTGCAATTGTAAAAAGGCTGTTTGTAGATGATCATGATCCCTGGAAAGTTTACCATATCCAGGCTAAGTTCATCATGTTTAGTTTCTAAGCGGTCGGTCCTGGAGCCCAATGTGGCTATTTCCTGAGAGAGAACATTAGTGCTTTTATGCAATTCTGATTGGAATTTAGCGGCCAGCTTGGTGTAAATAGTTTCCAAGCAAGCTTCCAGGTCCCCCTTTGTAAGTTGCTGTGTATATTCACTGACCAGAGCTAATGAAGGAGCCGTGGTATCCTGCGTGGGATCGGACAGGGATGCTCGTTCTGTACCTCCCCACCTAGCCACCCCCCCCCCATCTCCCCCTCATCTCTTCCCTCCTCTGCCCTCGCAACCGCACTGCCCCACACCGCACCCAAGACCCCGCTTACCGTAACCCCCCCAGCTCTGCACTCCTTCAGCCCCGCTACCACTGAGGAAGTCACCAGGGTCTTCTCTGAAGCCCGCCTCACTACCTGCCCCCTGGACCCTATCCCCTCTCAACTCCTCCAGTCACCCCCCTGTTCCCTCATCTGCTCCCTCACCCACATCTTCAATCTCTCCCTCTCTACCGGCGTATTCCCCTATCCCCTAAAGCATGCGCACATCACCCCCATACTCCAAAAAAGCCCTTACCTGGACCCCACTGACCCAAACAACCTCAGACCCATATCCCTGCTGCCACTCACTTCCAAACTCCTTGAGCGCTTAGTCTATGACCGCCTAAGTGCCCACCTAACTGACAACAACCTCCTTGATCCACTACAGTCCGGCTTCCGCCCCCTACACTCCACCGAAACTGCCCTCCTCAAAATCACCAACGACCTACTAACCGCCAAAGGCGACTACTCTGTCCTCCTCCTCCTGGACCTCTCCGTGGCCTTCGACACAGTTGATCACCCCCTCCTCCTTAATAAACTACTCTCCCTTGGCATCAGAGACACCGCTCTCTCCTGGTTTTCCTCTTACCTATCCTGACGCTCCTTCAGCGTTTCCTACAATGGTGCCACCTCCCCTTCCCTCCCCCTCTCTGTTGGGGTCCCCCAGGGCTCTGTCCTTGGACCCCTTCTCTTCTCCATCTACACCTCCTCCCTTGGAAAACTCATATACTCCCACGGCTTCAACTACCACCTCTACGCTGATGACACTCAAATTTACCTCTCCACACCCCACCTCACCCCCACATTCTCCACCCGCATCACTCACCACCTAAACAACATCTCTGACTGGATGTCGCTCCATTTCCTCAAGCTTAACCTC